GAAGGCTGCAAAAGGTGATTATATGAGCCCAGGACATTGCAACTGTTATAAGTATGAGTCAGTTGTCAAGCATCCAAATATAAATCACAGATCATGGGGATGCTACAACAGCCATAAGTTTGAAAAATGGTCATAAACCACTTTTTTCAATTCCGTTGTAACTTTGAATAATCACTAAGTGAACTGTTGTAAGTCGAGGACTACCTGTATTTAAATATTGTTGCAAATCCACAATAAATCTATGCAAAAACATGTGGGGTTATGCAATCTGAAAATGGTGCAACTACCCTATGACTATGTTGTCTGCCCACTTGTGCATATATTAAAAGATGAGCCAACTAACAACCAGCTAAGCTCCTGCTCCAACGAGGGTATTTTTGCAGCATTTTCTCTGGCGTTTCTAGGCAGAGTGGCTTTACACTTGGGGGGCTCCTGATTCATCTCAGTTCTTGTAATCTCTATCAGTGTGCCATGTTGCAAAATGTAATAGGCCTTTTTACTATCTGTATCATTTTACAGAGGTGGTTGAGCAACTAGCTTTTCTTTTCTAGCCCCAGTCATTGGTTTGGTCTTCTTGACTTGCAATAAGAAATGGAAGAGGGCACTAGTTGGAATGTTGATTCTGTCATTTTCCCAATAACTACCTTATCTGCCAAAACTCTGAGAATCAGCAAAGAAAAATTGCACGGAGACTCTAGCAGATAGTGAGAAGAACAATTGTCAGTCATAATGGAAGTAGCCAAGATGAAAAAGTGAAAGCTTTAAATCATTATCAGTCTAGTCTATCAAATGATTTACATGTTCTATTACATAATACCACCTGCCATGTACATGTTTTGCAAGAAGATTTAAATAATTCTCTGCAATGGGTTGGGACATAAAATATCACACAGATATAAAAAACTGATTAAGTGACATGTTTCTCCAAAGTGCTTAATATTTTGCATCTTCAGCAATATTTGGAGCTAGGTTCTGAATAATACTTTGGTTCTTACAGCAATAACCCATTAGATAATATGTAAAATAAACTTATCAAGGTGTCAAGAAGAATGTGTTTGACCATACTATTGATTTGAGGTGGGCTGCAGAGTTATTCCCAAATCTGCAAGCTACTTTATTATATTAGTTATCCAGTGATGGGTTTCAAAAATGTTTGGAACCTCTTCTGTAGGTGTGGCCTGCTTTCCGGGTCCACTGGTGGAACCTCTTCTAACCGGTTCGGTAGATTTGACAAACCGGTTCTACCGAATAGGTGCGAACTGGTAGGAACCCACCTCTATAGTTATCTATAAACATTGCCAAGTTTATGCTGCTCAATCTCCCATTGAGTTTTAATTGGTTCCATGATTAAAACAGAGACACTTTTTATTTCCCTAAAGCATATTGCAATTCATAAATATATATCTTTGGAAAGACAAACTAGACAGCCCAGAAATGTACAAAATGATTTGACATGAATAGTATATTAGCTGTCACTATGAATATTTTATATATGAAATGGATGTGGTAAAATCTCATGAAGCTTGACTCTATTAGAAATGAATGTTGAAATTGGGTCATGTTATTCTTCTCTAGAGGATACAAATCAATGAGTACTTGGTATTTCAGTTTTTCTGCTATAGGAACAATTTATTCTAAATGTGTCATTATAACAAATGCCTTCAAAAATATGTAACTTTTTCTTCTGATAAAATACATATAAGGAATTCATGTATGGATGAACTTTTTGCGCTGACATTATGCAAGAATTATAACAATGTAATACTTCACATTGAGTTATATACTTCTATGTCATTAGCAGAAAATTAAAGACACCATTAGGACTCCGGTCCAGGGACTGAGGGAACAGGGGAATATTGAGTGCCACAAACAGCCTATCCAGCTGCAATTTTCTTTATGTGCCCCTTATTCCCTGCTGGACTTATTTGTTGATCCAGAATTCTTCCTCATGGATGATTTCCTTTGCTCTCTGTCACTGCCTGCTTCAAGACCGTAGATAGCTCAAGGCCTTGATTAACTCAGGATCTGGATATGCTGACTCAACCTGCAACTGAGGAGCCCTCCCCTCAGTTAACTTTAATTGATTTTATTAGCAACCTATGAATGGATCATTAGCATTGATAAACTATGGATGATTCTAGTGAAATATACCTGTAGCTACCAGTAATTGATGTATATAATTATATATGTACATATACTCATTAATACATACCTTGGACTTTTCCTCCTTAATTTTCTTTTTTCTTTTCCCCAAGTTTTTCTTACCTTTATTATTTTGACCATTGCTTATTTTTCTTTCTCTTTGTATTTACATTCAGTAAAAAGCCATTAAAACTCATACAGATTTTTGTTTGAAAAAAATAACAAGAATAATAATAGGATATATGGGTTAGGGTTCTTCATCCTGGACATCTGCTTGAGGGAACCAAAATTGGCTAGATGGTAAGCATGACATTGTGATGCATAGCACATGTGCATGCATGCAAAATCAACACATTGATGCTTCTCACAATGATTGTTGTGGTAGAACTAGTTTATTTTATATACTGTGAGTATTGTTCTCTCCTATAATTAATAATGCTTTGTTTTTAACTGTCTGAGACATCTGGAAAAATGCTGCAACATTGTTCAATAGATGAATTTCTATCTCAAATCCCAAATAATCTAACTTTGATGTTTTGGCAGATAGTGCCAATGTAGCACTTAGTGGTATTGTGCTATTGTATAACAGCTGTTAAGCAATAGCCGGGTAATCATTTTGTCGACACAGCACATTTTATTTAAGATTTGTAACTAATGTAACCATTAACAGTTCTCGTTAAAACCTACTTGCTTTTATGATGTCAACAATTATTGTACTGAACGAAGTGAGTCAGCATTAAGCTTTTTATGAAAACATGTACATGGTAACAAAAAACTGACTATTTCATTGTTAATGGCCTATTTTTAATCTGTGTAAAATATAGGGGAATGTAGTCTTCACACTTTTTGTGAGCAATACTGCATCCATTAAATGTTGAATGCACAATATTTTCACATTAGAACAATGGTTCAGGCTTTGGAGCTGCTTCACTCAATGGACTTTACAAGGGGCAGATGAAACTACAAGATACTGTTTTACTCTTAGCTAAATGGACTTTCAAAATATTGTTTTCTATAAAATATATAAAATAAAATATAATGAAACTATGACTATGTTACTGTGCTAAGAACATGTCATGCTGCCTATTCCCAAGAAAAATATATTTTGTGAAATTTGGCACATATTTCAATTGCTTTTATGTTTTCCTTCTGTACAATTTCTCAAAAGGAGTCCACAATCCTAATAAGTGTTTCCAATTTTACTGCCACAATACTGACTCGTATTGTTTTATCTTTAGAGATGCTAGTTTTTCACTGTAGAGATAGGAATTCAATAATGGCTTTCACCTGCCCATACCTGATGAGTCATGATCTGCCATCTTTTAATTCAATATTGGCAATTCAGTTTTTTTTCCCCTTTCTTGCACATTTTGGATAAAATGTTGGTTTTAACCCACAATGTAGTTCAAAACACCCACTTGTCAACATGTCTTTGCATGATGACAAAAGAACAAGAACAAGCAAATCTTTTGTTTTTTATCTCAACAAATGCCTAGGCTATGTGCAATTATATGCTTTTTCAATGTCCTTTAAAGATCAGAATCAGTCAAGCAATTGCAGAAGAACAATAAAAAATGGATTACAAGTAAGTGTTAAAGACATCTATTTATTAAGCTAACACTGAATTACAGCATTGCTGGAGGAAGGTCACAACCTAAGAGTACTGGATAGATACTCTCTTAAGAAAATAAGTGATCTGAAGTTGAAATGCTGTTCTAATATTGTAAAACAATATTATAAACTGGTGCAGTAGTGTTTCTGCCCTAAACAATTTGATGCTTTCCATTTCAGTGGCAAGTTAGAATTTACATGGAAAGGGAGCCTGAAATAAGGCAAGCTGCAATTAGTAAATGAATTAAAACACATATCAAGTTAATACTCCAGAGTACAGGCTAAAAGCGTGATTCAAAATCTTGCATTTTGGTAACTCTTATAATAAATAGTAAGGATCAATATTTTGGCATTTATGAGATTGCAATCCTGTACATCTTTTATGGGAAATCAGTCCTGTTACCACAGTGAGTTCCTTCTGAATAGACATACATAAGATTGAATTTTTCCTTTAGTTCCACAGATTATGAATAATTATTTTCAGAGTTTCCCCCCCCAGCTTTTTAAGTTTGCTTTTTCAGATAGCTTTGTCAAACAATGTAACAATGTAACAAAGGTTACAGTGTTCAGCCTATTTGAAGAGACATTTGCATTTAGGCTTATTTTGTCTTCTGTTTTAGTTCTTAATTTCCCCTTTTTTCTGATTAAAGTGGAGGCACAATTGAGGTAAAGAATCAAATTTCACTGAGAGAAATGCAATGCTTGAACTATTGTTGAAGTTCAAGAAGTTGTCATAACCTCTGCAAATTATCATAAAAAATTGAGAAGAATTTATCATGGAAATTGGATGGTAAAAAAGATAAATAAAGTTGAGCATAAAATTATGTTATCTCAATTCATCTCATGATTGTAGTTTGAATGTATTGACTCCAGAATGATCTGCACTTTATGAATACATATTTTCAAGCCAATATGTATCTATTTTTATCTCAATTTTTATCTCAGTTCCTTTTAATGGTCGTCCTGTTAATTGAATGGAAAAGATTTGAATATTACGACCTCCATTTCACATCTGTTTTTTATTTGGGCATTATTTTTTTAAAAAAAATGAAACTACATGATAAATCTAAAGCAAAGGATATTAAGAGTTGTATATTAGCCATCATTATTTTTTTATAAAAACACTTTTCCAAAACATATACAATAACAGTTTAGGACAGGAGACAAAATACAAGAACAAAAGGACTTCCTTCCCAAACTACAGACAATCTCTGACCAAAGAAAGTGCTTTAAACAGATATAAGCATCATGAATTTGTATATTCCCAAAATCTATTTTAAGGACTGTCTTATAGAGAATTGTCTCCACAACATAGAAGCTACATAGAATTAAAAATATAAAAAGAAAAATTATTTATTTTACATTTGAAAACTGGCTCCCAAGAAATGTAACACACAGCAAAGTAATTTAAACAAGTATATTACCTTATTATAAATTAAATGAAGAATACATTTCATTGGGTAGAAGTGGGGAAAAGAGGGTCATCTGGATTTCCCCAAGCTCCACTCCAGCACCTTGTTTTTATTTATTTCTTTTGTTGGATCTGTTCCTGGCTGTTTTATAGAGAAAGTGTTTAGTCAGATGAGGCCATTTGTACTAAACTAATCATTTAGTCATTTCATTGTTCTTGAACTCTTTTTTTTAAAGTCTCCATCAGTTATGGGAAATATGCATCCTAATTCTAAAGGGACTGAATGTGACTTGGATCAAATTGAATCTTTATTACAGTCAAATAATAAATAAAAACCCTAACAAAGATTGTGACTCAAAGCAAACAAGGTCTAGAACGCCACTGTCAGCGCTATATATTATGATTACAATGGGAAGTCCTAGAGGTCTCCCATAGGATTTATGCTTTCTAGAAGAGAACAAAGGTTGCAGACCTCCTGGTTGTTGAATTTGCCGTCCAATCAAAAGAGCATAACATAAATCAATGCTTTGCATCTCCTATGACTTTTCCTTGGTTGATTTTGAAACTGAAGAGATAAGTGCCGGTCTAAATGATGTTGAGCCAAATGTAGCAAGACACATTGCTGATAATCATCTGAAGTGGATTGATTCAACAGTGTAAAAGATGTGTAAATAAGTAAATAAATAAAAAATCTTGAATTTGGCTACATTGTTGTTAGTTTTTCATTTTGAACTGCTTTTGAACAGTTAGAAGGGTACTTTTGACTGAACTTTTCAAGCCGTTTAATAATTATTCCTCTAAAGACAGATAATATTTTTTTCTGAGGTAACCATTGGTGAGTACTTTGAGAACTGCAGCTGAAGTAATTTTGATGTCTCACAGAAGGCTTTTAAAAAAACCCACCCCTCCTCAGCCTCCCATTCACAAATTGCTCTTTTCTCCTTATTTCTCTCCTTTTGTGGTTTGTGACAAATATCAGCCCAGGACTGTAACTTTGCTGTCCCCTTGATTCAAAAAACGCTAAACCAAACACTGGTGGGAGTTCAGGACTCAGATCTTGACAATCATCTGGGAAAGAGTGGCTGGCTGGGGGCTTTCTTCCTTATCAAAAGCCAGCTGCTGCTTTGAGATAACAAAACCCCGCTTGCTTTCTACTGGACTGGTTTCCTTTCCCTTTCCAGATGGATCGCCATTCCCCCCAGGCTTGCTCAAAGCCAGTGAACAGAGATTGGTCTCCCCAGCAGGGACCCCAGAGGGAAAAGATAAGATGATTCGTTTCTATTAAGCTGATGGAATAGTTAGCTTTCTCCTGGGGCTGCCAAGCAGATCTAATATTTTGTACTGCCTCGGGATCATTTGCTTCCTGCTGGGGAAGTTCTTGGAAAGGGTGAGAAGGATTTATGCCAACCTTCTGGCCAATCTGGAATTATTCCCCCCCCCCCACCGCAAAAAAAAAGAGAGGAACTGTGGAATGATTTAGCAACAAGGCTCGTTGTAAAGCTAAGCTTGTATGTTTTCAATACTGCTGGTTGGCTCAGGCGAACCACTGATTACACTCTGTGAGCTTCTCGAGAGGGAGTCCCAGTCCCAACTTCTGAAACAACACACTATCCTCCCGCTACCACCAGGAATACCCACAGCTTTACAGGGGTATGTTTTGAGCCCATCCCCTTTATTTCTTTATCCTGCTTGCAAAACATAAAAGCAACCTAGGTCCGGATTTGGTTTGGGTTTTTTTCCCCCCGGAAGCCAGGGGCAAAAACCCTCCAGCAGCGCTCAGCAACCTTTCACGCGGGACTTGCATATCGCGGCCGATCCAGTGGTCATCAGCCTGATGCCACGCCCAGACGCCCATGGCCAATGAAGAAGAGCAGACTCGCGGGCCCCAAACCTCAAAGAAAGCGCTAGGCTAAGACTCAAGGCTCCGGATCCTAGGCAAGCGGAGAGAGCTGGAGAACCGTCCAGGCTGCCCAAGATCTCATTGTTTAACAGGGAAGGTAGAAGGAGCGTCCAGCCGAGTGGGCCCGTTTAGAAACTGAAGATGGCCAGTGGGGGAGCAGTCTGTCCCTGGGGCCGCTCTCCTTGCCTTCCTTCCCGGCTTTCTCTTGACCCGAACTCCCCACGCCCCCTTCCACACCGCTCGGTCGGAACCCGGGCGAGTCAGAAAGCTGCCCTCAGAGGGTTGTAATCCTGGAGGTGCAAGTCCCGTTGCGGTACACGCTGCCCGACTCTCCGAAGTTGTCGGCGGGAAAGTCCTCCACGCTGTAGGCCCTGCTCTTGAGGGCGGTGGCGTAGTAGTCGACCGGCTCCTCGGCGGCGTTGTCCATCCAGCTAAGGCACAGGAGCCTCTGAAAGGAGCGCTTGAAGTTGTCCGAGAGGAAGCCGTAGAGGATGGGGTTGGCGCAACTGTTGGCGTAGCCCAGGATGACGGAAAGCTGGCTGATGGTGGCGTCGTCGGGCTCGACGAAGAGGTTGACCAACTGCACGACGTAGAAGGGCATCCAGCAGATGACGAAGACGGTGACCACCATGAGGACCATGAGCGTGATCTTCCGCTCGGAGCGCTTGCGCTGTTGCCAGCCGGCCTTGAGCGCCACCACGCGCATCTTGGCGATGATGAGGATGTAGCAGAGGCTGATGGCCACCACGGGGAAGAGGAAGCCCATGAGGAAAGTGTAGACCACGAAGACCACCAGCCACTTCTGCTTAGGTTCGGGCATCATCATGTTGCAGGCCACCGTGCCGTCCGTGTTGGCCTCGGTCCGGGAGAAGATGAGGATGGGCAGGATGATGACGAGGGCCAGCCCCCAGACGGCCAGGTTAACCATCTTGGCCACCGTGGGCCGGCGGTAGCGGGACGCCTTGATGGGGTGCACCACCGCGATGTAGCGGTCCACGCTGAGTACTGTCAGACAGTAGATGCTGGTGAACATGTTGACGGCGTCCACGCTGAGCACCAGGCGGCAGAGCAGCGACCCGAAGGGCCAGTGGTGGAGCAGCGTGGAGGTAACCAGGAAAGGCACGCTCAGCATCAGCAGCTCGTCCGCAATGGCCAGGTTGAGGATGTAGATGTTGGTGGCCGTCTTCATCTTCGCGTAGCGCAGGATCACGTAGATGACCATGGAGTTGCCGCACAGACCCACCAGGCACACCACGGAGTAGATGAAGGAGATGAGGATGGCGCTGCCGCTGCCCGGCGACTCGCCGGCCCCCCCGGCCCCTCCGCTGCCCCCGCCGCCGCTCACCGTGCCGTTGGGGCCAGCGGGGCCGGAGGAGTTCCTGCCAGCCGCTGCCGAGTCCATGCCTCCAGCAGCGCCCGCCACCCGCCTGGCGCAGGGGCCATCCTCCGCCCCGTCGGCCCGAGCTCAGGATGGCGGGAGAGGCGCGAGTGCCCGGACAGCCCGGCGGCAGCTCAGCATCCTTTCTCCTCCGGGCGCAGCCCGTGGGCGAGTGCCGCCGTCCTTTGCTCCTGTCACAGCCCGGGCGCGGGAGAGCGGGAAAAAGGGACGGAGCTGCGCGCCGCCTCCAGCCCAACTGGCATTAGTTGCAGCTCGTCGGCTCGCAGGGATGATTAATAGGAGGCGAGCGGCGCGTCAGCACCTACGAAGAGCGAGGGGGAGAAAAGAGGTGGGAGGAGGAGGAGAAGGACAAGGCGGGGAGGGCACCTCCCTCCCTCCCCCCCGCTTGCTTCCCGCCAATCTGCTCCTGCAAGAGAAGACTTCCCTTGCTCACACAGACGCCGCCGCCGCCGCTTTGGAGAGCCAACAAGTGCTCTACAACAACTCCCTACGGCTGGAGGGCCGGTTCGTCCTGCTTCTGGCGAGCGACCCCAAGGCCGAGTGGGAGTCCGGAGGAGGGCGTCTTTTTCCCCCCTTCGCAACTTTTTGTTTGTTTGTTTATTCAAAACACTTATATAGCCACCCATCATATATTTGTATTCTTATTCATTAGTTTGTCAAACATGTACAAGGTAGCAGATGTTAATATAAACATGGACATGAACGAAAGGAATGAATACACATACATGAGGACAGTAGGACAAGGGACTATAGGCACACTGGTGGGCTTATGCACCATATACATATATTCTGTATACTCATACATATATTCTGGGTGGCTCCCAATCAACTATTAAAACAACACCAATAAGAAAAAACAATATGTACAGATGCACTCCCCTTACAGAGACCTCGTAGGAATGGGGTGAGGTCCACAGTAGACAATCCAAGGTTAAAGTTTTGGGGGTTTGGCTCAGCAGGATAAAACATTTGGGCAACTGTCAAAAGAAGCCTGCTGGCAGCCAATTTTATTAAAAGTCCTAAGCTTTTGTGAACTGCAACTGTGAGGATAAGCTACATTTTCTGCCCTCTGTCACCACAATTCTCTCTCTCTCTCTCTCTCTCTCTCTCTCTCTCTCTCTCTCTCTCTCTCCCTCTCTCCCTCTCTCCCTCTCTCCCTCCCTCCCTTTCTGTCCCTCCCCCTTCCTTCCCCCCAGGGAGCCCAATCTTACCCAGAATGTCACGCTTCCCCCAAAACTGCAGGTGATCTCTGTTCTTTGCTTAGACTATCATGTTGGTGGTGATTTGGAGTGAGTCAACTGTGTTAAGCATTGCTGAGCATGTTGTTGTTGACATTTCTGTTCAACTGACTGCCCTTTCTTTCCTTCTGGGTGTTGAGAGCAAATGAGTAAACAAGAAAAGGCAACAGAAAATAAAATCTATCTGTCCTTTACCTTTGCTTTGGACACAACTGCCTTTGCTCAGCACATAATTACTGGTTATTTCAATAATCTGTTTTCTGGGTTCACACAATAGACTGAGCAATAAATTAACAAAATGGACTGGGTTTACAGCACATCCTACGATGTACATACACAAACAAACTCAAACCAAGGTTAAATTTAACTAGGCATCAAATATGGGTAGCTGTTCAGAGTTTCTTATAAGATGGGTGGATATATACATGTTTTAAATAAATACATATTGTGCAAACAATAATATTGATTCTTGTGTGACTATGGTTAGCTCATATCAATCAAATGAAGAAATTGTAATGAAATCCTTAAAAGATAAAAGATGACAAGCACTATACATCAAATGAAACAGAGTGAGGGGTCTCACTCTCCCTTGCTAAAGTCTTGGGTGAACAGCTAGATCTTTGCCACTTTTTTTGAACTACAATAGAGTAGATCTTGGGGAGGGGGCACCTCATTCCAGAAGGGATGCGCTGCTACAGAATGTAGATGCTAAGTTTATAATTCCTGGATAACCATCTTGTGAACACAGCTTTCTCTTTTCCAAGAGCCGTGATGGTGCAGTGGTTAGAATGCAGTACTGCAGGCTACTTCTGCTTGATTGCTGATTGCCAGCAGTTTGGCAGTTCAAGTCCCACTGGCTCAAGGTTGACTCAACCTTTCATCCTTCTGAGGTCAGTAAAATGAGGACCCAGATTGTTGGGGGAAATATGCTGACTCTGTAAAAAGCTTAGAGATGGCTGTAAAAGCACGGTGAAGTGGTATATGCTATTGGTATTGCTATATATGTTGGTCATTGCAGCTCTAAGAATTAAGACCTGGAAAGAAGCAGGGGAGAAATTTGTGAGATACAGATGCCTTTAATTGCTGTCTCAGAAAGATGCTTCCATACTGCCCAGCAGTAACACAGTACGAAAAGGAATCATATTATCTCCCTGGGAATTATAGGGAGCTTGAAATTTTAACTATCCCTTCCACACAGCCCCAATATAGGAGAATGTTACAGGTCTCCATCAGAGATAATTGACACATAACTGGACACTTTTTCCCAAACAGAAAATAAAAAAGGAGATCCTTAACAAAGCAAAGGTTGTTTGTTTGCTTGGATGAAGCTATATCAGAAAATGAGTATTTTCCAGCTATGAGTCAGTTGACTGTTTCAGGGTATCAAATCTCAATTTTTGTTCTAGGATAAAGAAGAACCCCCAGATATCGCACTTGAGTAAGAAAATAATTGTGCATTACAAAGAGAGCCAGGGTTTTATTTTTTATTTTTTTTTGCTAAGGATGTGTGCTAGATCCTGCTAGGTCTGGAAGGAAAAATGGACTCCTTTGAACTGTTTGCTGTGACTCTGCCTGAGATGAAATGGGCTTTCCTCCTTCTTGTATAATACTTAAACTGCTTCTTCACAAAACCAGCAAATTGCCTGAAAAACACTGCTACATTGCTATAGATTTTCATAGGTAACAAATGCTAGTGTGCAAAAGGAAAAGGGATGAGAATTTTCACTCACATAGTTCATCAAAAGCTCTAGAATCACAGTGTTTGGGAGGGGTTGAATTTATAATCTATAATAATCTATAATCTATACTGCATAATCTTATCTTTTGTTTCTTTACAGTGGACCACCGCGTCTAAACAATCAAATTTATAGTGATGATTTCATATTTGCTTTAGCTTGTTCTCCCTCACGTCATACTCATAGTGAGAGCATCTAACCTGAAAGGTGAATGGACTCAAGTTATAGTGGTAATGAGTGAATCATTGCAAGGCTTCAAAGCCCAGGTTAGAGAATCTGTCTCTGTTGTTGCTAAGAGTCAAGAATGACTTGATGGCACCTAATCAGTCTGTCCATATAGATTTCAAGATCATTTTAGGTTGAAATTGAAATTTTCTAGGTTTTCCAGTGAGAATAGAAAAGAATTGAGATAACTTTCTTGCTCTCATTTGCCTCTAGATAGCAACTGCTGCAAACAAGCTTTGAATAGCAGAAGGGGAAGTATGGTATTAAGAGAGACAGCAAAAGGAGATAAAGGAAATGGAATCGTGAAATGTGAAGGGTATTATAGAATTTATCTTGGAAATTGTATAGTTGAACCTCTAGATGGGTGCAGGAATCTTCTGCTACAGTATCCAACTTCTTTAAATACTTCTGATGAAAATTTACTCTTCTAGAGGCAGAGGAAACTTTTTTTTTTGCATGATGTCTAACCAAAATACAATTCATCATAGTTTAGACCTACTGTCCCTTTTGTTTATGCAGACTCAGATTGTATTTGCCCTAAAAAAATTGCATTATACTACTAGTAGGTCATGTTCAGCTTGCGATCCAGCAAGGCACTAAGATACTTTTCGTATTTCTCACTATGGTTACCCATATCCTAAGCTCATGTGTTTTATTGTTCCCACCTAGATGTAGGATAATTGATTTATCCATATTGAGATTCATCTTGCTGATTACTGCTTGTTGTTCTACCTTGCCAAGGACCTCCTGAATCCTAATACTGTCCCTTAGATGCTTGCTAACCTTCATATCTTTGTGTCATTTGTAAATCTGATAATAATTGATAACCCCATATTTTCATTTATTTGTTTAGATTTAGAGGCTACAAATCCAAATATTCTAGGAAACATACAGAGTTAAACCAACATAAAATATAGGGGCAAATACAAAAATTGAAAAAATATATTGAACAGCACATAGTCTAGAATGAAGCCTTATGGTTTTATAATTTTTATAGTAGAGTCACTATCACACAGCATATTGCTGTCATACAGTAATATGGCACAGTTGACCAACCAGCTTGTATCCTATTGATAGCCTAGCCCACTTTTTGTTATCTTTGTTGTAGAATCCTATGGGAGGTTTGAGAAAAATTCTTGACTGAGATCAAGGTACAGAACAACCATCATATTCTTGGGTCAATCATAATCATCACTCTATCAAAAAGGAAATTGGGTCAGTACCACAATGATCTGCCTGTAATTTTATTTTTACTTTTTAATTTTTGTTATTTTTTTTCCTCCTTTTTGAAGGCAAGAATAACATATTCTTACCAATGCTCCTCATTTTGTGTTTCTATCCTACACTAAGAGTTAGGAAATAATGTAAAGTAACTTAGAAAACCATAACAGTTATAGACCTCTGAAAATGGCATAGGTGGAACATGGCTATGCCCTTTTGTAGACACAGGAATCCTTTCTACCCCCTATTAAGGGACAGGCTATAAATATGCCACCGAAAAGTGATTCCCCTCCATAAGTTAAAAAGCTTCAGAAGGAAACCCATTTTGATACAATTTGACATGCATTATATTTACATGAATTTCTCTTCTCCCTTCCATCAGTTTTCTTTTACATTGACATCACCTTAAAGAAGGTATGGTACAATTTACCAACTATAAACATTGAATTTATTAGAACAGAACAGAATAACAGAGTTGGAAGGGACCTTGGAGGTCTTCTAGTCCAATGCCTTGCTCAGGCAGGAAACCCTATGCCATTTCAGAAAAATGGCTGTCCAATTTCTTCTTTAAAACTTCCAATAT